TAAACCAGGCAATATCCCCTTGTTCAAACAACTGCCTCTTGGTCTATGTACAGGTTCTACGTGAACACAGTAAGTGTTCTAGAATTCCCATTCTTTGCAGTGGTATTCATAATTTGTTATGATCCACACAGTTGAATGCCTTTGCATAGTCAATAAAACACAGATAAGCATCTTTCTCAACCAAGATCCCTTATTCCATGTCCTTTCCTGAATCTGGCTTGAATTTCTGGCAGTTCCCTGTCAATGTACTGCTGCAACTGCTTTTGAATGATCTTCAGCAAAATTTTATTTGTTTGTGATATTGATGATATTGTTTGATAATTTCTGCATTCTGTTGGATCACCTTTCTTTAGAAAGGGCACAAATACGGATTTGGCCAGGTAGCTGTCTTCCAAATTTCTAGGCGTAGATCAGTGAGCACTTCTAGCATTGCATCTGTTTGTTGAAAACATCTCAGTTGGTATTGCATTTATTTCTGGAGCCTTGTTTTTCACCAGTGCCTTCAGTGCAGCTTGGACTTCTTCAGTACCATTGGTTCTTGATCATATGCTACCTCCTGCAATGATTGAATGTCAACCAATTCTTTTTGGTACAGTGAGTCTGTGTATTCCCTCCATTTTCTTTTGATGCTTCCCACGTTTTCAATGTTTTGCTCATAGAATCCTTCAGTATTGCAATTCGAGGCTTGAATTTTTTCTTTATTTCTTTCAGCTTGAGAAATGCAGGGGTTGTTTTTCCCATCTGGCTTTCTAACTCCAGGTCTGTGCATTTCATTATAATACTTTGTCTTCTCGAGCCACCCTTTGAAATCTTCTGTTCAGTTCTTTTACTTCATCATTTCTTCCATTTGCTTTTAGCTACTGTACATTCAAGAGCAAGTTTCAGAGTCTCTTCTGACATCCATTTTGGTCTTTTCTTGCTTTCCTGTCTTCTTAATGATCTTTTGCTTTCTTCATGTATAATGTCCTTGATGTCATTCCACAAGTCATCTGGTTTTCTGTCATTAGTGTTCAGCACATCCAATCTATTCTTGAGATGGTCTCTAAATTCAGGTAGGATGTAATCAAGGTGGTACTTTGGCTCTCATGGACTTGTTTTAGTTTTCTTCAGCTTCGACTTGAACTTGCATATGAGCAATTAATGGTCTGTTCCACAGTTGGTCCCTGGCCTTGTTCTGACTGATGATATTGAGCTTCTCCATCGTCTCTTTCCACAGATGTAGTCACTTTAAGTCTTGTGTATTCCATCTAGCAAGGTCCATGTATATAGTCACCGTTTATGTTGTTGAAAAATAGTATTTCCAATGAATACGTCATTGGTTTTGCAAAATTCTATCATGCAGTCTTCAGCGTCATTTCTATCACCAAGGCCGTATTTTCTAACTAACAGTCCTGTTTTTTTTCCAACTTTTGCATTCCAATTACCAGCAATTATCAATGCATCTTAATTGCATGTTAAATCAATTTCAGACTGCAGAAGTTGGTAAAAATCTTCAATTTCTTCATCTTTGGCCTTAGTGGTTGGTGCATAAATGTGAATAATAGTCATATTAACTGGTCTTCCTTGTAGGCATATGGATATTATCCTATCACTGGCAGTGTTGTACTTCCAGATGGATCTTGAAATGTTCTTTTTGAAAATGAACGTGATGCTGTTCCTGTTTAATTTGTCATTCCTGGCATGGTAGACCATATCATTTTTTGTTCAAAATGGCCAATACCAGTCAGTTTCAGCTCACTAATACCTAGGATATCTATCTTCAAGCATTCCATTTCATTTTTGACAACTTATAATTTTCCTAGATTCATACTTAATACATTCCAACATTCCTACTATTGCTGGATGTTTGCAACTGTTTCTTCTCATTTTGAGTCGTGCCACATCACCAGATGAAGGTCCTGAAAGCTTTACTCCACCTATGAGATTATAGTCAATTCTACTTTGAGGACGCAGGTCTTCCTCAGTCGTATTTTAAGTGCCTTCCAACCTGAGGGGCTCATCTTCCAGTACTATATCAGACAGTGTTTCACTGCTATTCATAAGGTTTTCACTGGCCAGTTTTTTTTAGAAGGACATCCCCATGTCCTTTTTCCTAGTCTGTCGTAGTCTGGAAGCTCCGCTGAAACCTGTCCACCATGGGTGACCCTGCTGGTATTTGAAATACCGGTGGCATTGCTAACAGCGGCACAGCAACACACAAGCCACCAGAGTGTGACAAACTGACAGACGAGTAGTGATCATGTCTCATACAGGCAATATAATTCATTCATGGAGTTCAACAGAACATGCAGGCAAATATTCACAGGCACTTGCATATGCACCCAAAGTCTGTTAATCTGTTGTGACTAAATCAGAATATGGTGTGATTAGAAAATAGAAGGTTGAAACTTTTGTGTCATATTCAAAGGAATTCGTTTATTGGCAAGTAATTTATGAAGATGGACTTCACGACCTTAATTGTTACCTTAATGATGTCAAGCAGGGAAGTGAATCAAGGCGAACCTTCTTTGTAAATGATACTTTGTCAGCTCAAAACTGAGGACAGGAGGATCCACAAATTTTCGGACTGTGAAGGGAATATAAACTCTCAGCCTCCCCCCAAAAATATCAACTGCAGAGCATGTTTACAAACTTCCTATCTTTCTGGATACAGGCCTTTTAAGATGATGCTTTTGCTTTCAATCAAATAGGGCTGGTCAAATTTACCAGTATGCCCCTTACTAGATAGAAATTCTCTTGATATTTGATATGACATTCATTTAATTTTCATTCATATAATCTGGGTCTACAGTACTTATCTGCAATTCTAAAATTCTGAAAACTAACAATTTTTGTAACTTAGTTTTTTTGCAAAACCTAAACTGATATGAAGCTATTTATACTTTTAATTTACCACACAAATATTCATATTTTTCACCACAGAACTATTAATGTGGTTCATTTCAGGGGTCTTAGTAATGTATGGGAGCCCTGGTGGAACAGTAGTTAAGTGCTGGACTGCAAACAGAAAGGTCAGCAGTTCAAATCCACCAGCTCCTTGGAAACCGTGTGGCGCACTTCTGCTCTGTCCTATAGGGTCTCTATGAGTCAGAATTGACTCCACAGCAACGGGTTTGGTTTGGTTAGTAATATATACAGTATTTATTGCTTTTCTAAAGTCTGAAGAATATCGAATTCCAAATTGCTAAGTGTGCAGTCAATAGGATATAATAGTAGATGCTTTTATTTTAAATTATATGCCCTCATTTTTTCTTTTTAAAAATTACTGTAGATTTTTTAACTTTTAATTTTTTCAAATAGGTATGGAAACAACATAGTAATCTATTGTTGTATTAATGTAATTAAAGCTTAATATGCTCAATGATTGAAAATAAAATATTAACAGTTTTCAAAGTGATCGTTACAGGAATTTTCCAAGTTGTGACTTAATTTTATATATTAGGAAGGGAATCCAAAAAATGATGAGTATGCCAGTATTAATGTGGGCAGAGGACTTGATCAAATAAATGAGAATAGACAACACACATATTGCCAATATTACTATGAAAAAATGTTCAACATCACATAATAATCTTTTAAAAATAGAGAACAAAATGAGATACTGTTCTCCTCAAAATGAGAAAATATTTGGATACAAAAAAACAGCCACTCTCATGGGTTGCTTAGGGAAAGAAATTTTCACAAAATTATCAAAAGCCCTTAGAGAGTTCATATCCTTTGCCCAAAATTATTCCACATCTTGAATTTATGCTAAGGAAATATCTAAGATGTACCACAAAGATACAGATGTGGATATTCATCACTGCTTTATTTTGTTAAAAACAACTAAAATATCCATGAATATAGATTAGTAAAATAAATTATTATACAGCCCTTTAATGGAAGAGAAATCACATTGTAAAAGAATGTATAATAGCTTTAGAAAATATTCAAAATATATTTTAAGTGAAAAACGCCAGAGTTAGAAAATAGTTTGTGCAGTATGAGCCCCATCCTCTTTATACCCACATATCTATATGTGTATGTTTAGTTTTGTGCTCATATTTTTCTGTATTTTTCAAATTTTCTGTAGTGCATATATTCAGAATAGGAAATTTTTAATATTTTCTATTTTCTGGGTTATATATACTTATCTAAATTTATTCAAGTAAAACTAAGTGAAAAAAATATAGACACATCAGAAAGTGTGAGTCATCAATAATAAAAAGTGAAGGAAATATTCTGAGAAATTCTTGCTGTCTAGAAATGATGGTACCTATATAGATAAATGGAAGTTAAAGACTTTTGTTTATGGCCTTCATTTCAATCTATCAAGCACTATTTTAGCAGAAAATATCAATACTTCTTGAGAAGTGTTGTATTACTTTTTCAGAATTTTAACCATATTTCTCCTTATCTGAAATTCTGAATTTGTTAAGTACTCAAATATTATTTTAGTAAAATGAGGAGTGCCACCTTTCTCTCTAGATTGCAGTGCACGGGGTGGAATTTTTACCTCTTATTCATGGCATTCAGCTCTCAACATCTTAACCTGGCAGAAGAACTAAACTAGCTGTAAATCTTACCACCCAGACCACACTTGATTATTGTATGATGGGAAAATTAAACGGGAATAAACCAGCTAGAGCATTAGGGTGTTCTTGGAAGAATAAACACAAGTTGGAAGTCTTAGGTGGATAGTGCAAAGTACAGGAAGGCAGTCAATCATGTAAACATCAAATGAAAGGTTGGTAAGGAAGCCATTGGAGTCTGTCAGGCGCTCCCTGCAATAAATTGCTTATTCCATTTCTTTTCCCTTTCACTCAGTTTAGAAAAGTGAATTCAGTGGCACTTCTAACAGATCCCAAAGACTTTGTAAGTTCTTATGCCTGTTTAAAGATAAGTTTTGAACAGAATGAGCTCCAACCCATTGAATAGAATTTTTAGTTTACATAAAATGAACACAAATAAATATGTCGTATTCCATATTTCCCTGACTTTTTTCCTTCTCCCACAAACAGGAAACTGTTAAGGCAGCAATAATAGAAGAGCAGAAGCGAAGTGAAAAGGCTGTGGAAGAGGCAGTGAAAAGAACAAGAGATGAATTGATAGAGTATGTAAAAGAACAGAAAAGGGTAAGTGTCACCTGTAGGGTTTTCGTTTGTGCTTTCATGAGCTCAAGCAGTGGCTTCCATACAATAACATGATATTCTGCAATATTTAAAATGTCCTTTGTCTTCTAATCTAGGAATCTCTGTCTAAGATTATTTTTCAAATATAATTATGTATTCTAGTAGTTAGATCTATAACCATAAATCCCATCTGTCAACAAAAAACCAACATTGAATAATTTCTTGCTTACTCCTAGAAGTGACTTTATACTCATGAAGAACATAGACAGTTCTAGATTTTTACTTTTTTGCCATGAGTTTGTTAATTTCTTGTAGTATAATATTTGTAGAAATTTATATGCACCCTTTAGCTTTCTATATTCACACCACTGTGGTTCTAATGGACTTCATAGCAAATTAAGGCTCTCCTGCCAAAGTTCCATTTCAGAAACATAATTCAGAATGTACTTGTCAGAATTCAGAATGCATATTGAATCTTTGCAAAAACATAGCATTTCAGTACAATGTAGTTTTATTAATGTGTGAATCTGACCAGTGGCTGAAAATGGATCACGCTTCATTTGTTGACTTTTTTCAACAACAGATCTTTAGTCTCCTTAAGTAATATCTCAGGTAAGAAACACTGTAAGATGAGATGCACAAAGATTATTATTAGAATTATTTTTATGTAATCTTATCCATAATAAATATTATATAATGTATAGTGTGTACAATATTTATATATAATATTAAATGTAAACTATATCTTATAATACTGTTGTTTGATATATGGAAACCCTGGTGGCATAGTGGTTAAGAGTTCAGCTGCTAACCAAAAGGTTGGCAGTTCAAATCTACCAGGCACTCCTTAGAAACTCTATGGAGCAGTTCTCTGTCCTGTAGGGTTGCAAATCGACTTGACGGCAACGGGTTTATATGATATATATCATATATAATATTTATACATACGGTATAATATATTATTATAAACATATTAATTAAACAGTGTGTGAGGAAATTTGACACATAATGTCTACATTTATTTACTTGGTGGTCAAATGGCAAAATAAATAGAAAATATAAGCTAGTATCCTTAAGTTGACAGTTAAGTAATAGGTAGAAGTATTGTAAAAGTACATGACACTACTTTAGTGAGATACGCTTAACTTGAAGTCAAATTTGGTATGATGCAAAGAAAATTCTCACTCCTCAATGGCTACCATTAGGTTGCAGCAAAGAAAAACTAGTCAACATGGTAAAAAATTGTGAAATAGCCTTTCCAGATAAATTGACCGCTCACAGGAGCATTTTGTGTGAGATTTAAACTTTGTGCATCCTACCTCAAGGTGTTTTTAAAAGCAGTTTCCTGATAGATCCCTAAACTTCTGAAGAGAAAATTTTCAGCTAAAAATAGTCAATTTGCTTTTCAGGAAGTAATATGTTCTCAGAAGCCTATTTTCGTTTGTACCTGCAAAGAGTTTGTTTTATATAATTTGGTTCAAAAATAGTCATGCAGCAAAGGAATTACAGATGCTTTCCATATACATACAGAAATTGCAATAATGAAAGAATATAGCCTCAAAATAAATATAAGGCTTTATGGGTATATCCTTTTTTAATCATTTTCTTAATAATATATAGCCAGTCTTTGAGTTCTAAATCTGGACAAGAGATTATATAATAAAGTAAGCCCATTTATAAGATGATTTTAGACTAATATTCCTTTTATGTGGGAGATTTTTCTTAAAGAAAAAAGGTTTTAAAAATTTTTATCACTTTCCCATCAAAGGGCCCAATAAGAAATGTTTAAAATGAGGGCAAGAAATGCCTTTATAGGAGTTATCTGGTCCCTGTGTGAGATAAATTTACTTGTGAAGAAAACCAACAATGAACTGTGCCGTCTAATGTGCATGTTTTTGCAAGTCAGATTAGAAGAACAGCATTTGTTTTAGTCAAGTAAACCAGTTATCACATGTAGAGGTGTTCATTAAATAACAATAGCAAAATCGTGACAGCTTTAAGTTCATTTGCATTAAAGTTCTTCTCTGTGCTTGCTTTCTTACATGTAAAGAGAATTTCATACTTACCTTACAGAATTGCTGAGTTAATACATGTAATAAAATAGAACAATACCAAACCAAATCAAATCCATTGCCATCGAATGGATCCCGACTCGTGGCAACACTATAGGATAGAATAGAACTATCCCATAGGGTTTCCAAGGCTGTAACCTTTATGGAAACAGACTGCCACATCCTTGTCTGGATTCGAACCACCTACCTTTTAGTTAGCAGCCAAACGCTTAACCACTGTGCCACCAGTGCTCCTTAGAACAGCAATAAAAAAAAAAAGTACAGCAGTAGTAAGGGATAAATACATATTTGCTTTATTTATTATCTTCAGCATCATTACAAAAAACCAAACAAACCCAGAAACTCCTATTAACATTATTTTTGCTAATTAAAAATTTGCTTTTTAGGTTAGTGTTTGGCATTCTGCTTCCTCTGAAATTTACAGTGTGAATTCTAATAGTTTATTCTACTCCTGTTAACTAGATTCAAAAAGCTTAAAACTGATTTAATCAGCATACTAGTAGGAAATTTAGCACTTCCACTTTGGGATTTGACAGCTCTTTTAAGTAATGACATATTGTCAAATACTTTTAATATTTGAATGTTTTTATCTCTCCAAGCAGAAAAGCTATATAAAAAGAAAATATATAAAATATCTGAAATTAAAGCATCAACTAATTACTAAACTTCTTTATGTAACTTTTTAAAAATTAAGATTCTCTATGCTCTTCTTTCCAAAAATGTATTTCATCGTTTCAAGTTAATTTTTATGAATATCTTGCGGTTTGGAAATTTTTCACAAAAAATAAGACATCCCAGGGATTATAAAATAATACTTAGAAGAAACAAAAGTCTTTAGCAAATTCATAATCTTCTTGTCTCTTTCCAGAAGACTATATTAGGGCATCTCATCTCTGCTTCTTCCTTTGTAAGATGGATTTCTATTTGCATCAGAGAACACTTTTCCAGAACAAACATTTTCCTTTTTCCTCTCCAGCTCTTTTAAACTAGAGAGTCAGCTTGAGATTTTCAACATTAGACACCTCAAAAGCCCTATAGACCTTGGTTCCAACTGGGCTTACATTCCAGTCTGTGAAGCAATCTTCTTCCCATCTTGAAGTTTTCGAAAGTCTTTGAAGGAAGAAATCTAAATGTTATTATTAGTTCTTGTCCTTGTGTCTTTTGTCCTAAACACTCTTTCCTTTGACATCACTTTATTCTTACCAAATTCACTGAAAGGCTTAAATGAAGATGCTTTTTTCTTACGTTTTTCGTCCAGTCTTTCACTTTTAAAAGACAAATACAGGAATGAAAAATGTAGAATGCTTAGCTTTTTAAATAACTGACAAGCTATCCTACAATATAAAATGCAATGAAATCATAAATCTCTAGAGGTTAACATTGCTTGTATGTGTATCTGAAATCAACAACTTTTTAATCAGCCATCAGATCCTGTTGAAGATTAGAATTTGTATTTATTTCAGTTGGTTATCTCTGACAGTTTCTGAGAATGACTTTTTCCATTGGTATTTTCAATATCTGTTATATCATTTGTTTAATTTTTTGGAGGTTTTAAATAATCACTGGGTTTATGTTGCATACAGCATAAATGGTACTGTATTAATATACTATCATTATAGAGTTGTAAAAGCCCATGTGTCTGGTTGAATCATTTTGCCAGCCGAGAAAGGAGTAATTTCGATTGCAAAAAAAATGAGGCCAACATGAAACTTTTATTTCATTTAAACTTTGTCACGTTAGAAAATAAAAGCATTATATAAATTATATGTAAGAGTCAATTTATTAAAATATAGTTTAATAAATAATATCTATAATTATTTATGACCTGCGTTTTGACTACTTACCACATTCCTGGCACTTTTTAATCTGCACAACAATCCTGTTTGGTCATTACTATTATAATCAGTTTTTTATACAGAAGAAAACTATTGAATAACTATCTTGTACCGTGGTACCTAAACCCACTGCTGTCAATTCTGACTCATAGTGACCTTATAGGACAGAGTAGAACTTGCCCCATAGAGTTTCCAAGGAGCCCCTGGTAGATTTGAACTGCCAACCTTTTGATTTGCAGCCATAGCTCTTAACCACTACGCCACCAGGGTTTCCCCGTAGTACCTAGTATAGTCTTAATTCAGATCCTATGACAAATAGGGGGGAGAAAAATGACTTCCATAGATAAGAAGGTAAATTATCCTATGGCCAACAAAAAATTAATTTCCCAGGGTCTTCTGAGAAAGTAGTTTTATTTTTAAATACCATATACTAATTATGAGTCACAACTTTATAAATACCCACCATTCATTTGGTCTAAACATCTTAAACAAGGCAAAGGGGCTACCTGTACAAGAACTAAGTGAATCAAAATTTCCACTAAATTGCATCTTAAGTCAATTATGAAGTATGATACACAGTATTTGTGCCATTAGAGTTATAATTATAACCAAAAATTAGTATGTAATCAATATATCCAAACAAGGAGAGTTTTCTAGATGATTAACCAGAAAAGTAGTTCAAATTAATGAGAGAAAGAGGGAGAGAGAATTATCTAGGTATCTGTAAGTATAGTGATTTGCATTAGAATGCCATATTATAGTCTATTTAAATTTTAGTTTCAGACTCTTTTGAGTTACTGTAAATTCTGAATCAGGGGTTACAAGCTCTACAGTTCATGTGTCAAATTCAGTCTGTTGCCTGTCTTTGTAAATAGAGTTGTGTTGGAAGTCAGCCACACCCATTCATTTACATATTGTCTGTGGCTGCTTTCATGCTACAGTGGCAGTAGTTAGTAGCTGAGAGAGACCATCGGACCATCATAGCCTAAAATAATTACCATCTCACCCTTTACATAAAGAGTTTGTCCACTTTTTGTCATCTAGATCCTCTTGTAGGGAAAATGCCTACCTCTCAGCCTTTTAAGATTTTTATTCT